TCTGTGAATATGTAGCTTCATATATGACAAACTTTACAGGTGAATTATTTTGTTTGGACACACGGCAGAAAGATCCCGGGTGTCCTCACCGGGACGCCAACCGGCGACCTTCTAGCTACGAGGCAACGGTGCTAACCACTTTGCAGCCCATTCAGAGAAGATGAAGCAGTAAAAGCCTCTAAATATTTGAGGTGTAACAACTCAGCTCAACTTAAAATAAACCAGAAGTCAGAACTAAAGCTCCACAGTGATGCAGCCTTCTGTTGTTACGATCTAAACTAGCTTTTGATGACTTTTGACTTACATTTATTTCTACATTTCCTTCATTCTGTCTTTTATCGTTTCACTTTTTAGTTTTGCCTTCATGCATGTCGACTGATGCTCCCTTTGCTGTTGACAGTTTATTGCATTTTTCATTTATAATATAATATTTACGGGTGGAGGAGTTTCGTTTTTTATTGTTTTTACTGCCGTTTTATTTGCTTTTGGTCATAAAACGTAACAGACAAATAAAGTCTGACTGCCGGCTGTATAAGTGAAACCCTGGAAGCTCACCTTCCTCCCGGACACGGCCAGCGTGTCGGCCACCTGCCACATGGGGACGCTGTTGTTCCTCAGCCTGTACGGCACCGTGAGGGCGTCCAGGGCCAAGGCCAGGGCGGAGCTGGAGTGGTACCAGAGCGAGGGCTGGAAAAACAGACAAGCTTCAACTCTGATGTGTGAAATCAAACACAAACAAACGAGGTGTTTCTAAGACTAAAAACGTCCCTAATCAGAGTGAAAATCTAAATCTTATTCTGATTTCATACATCTGATCATGTGGTTAAATGCTGTGCGAGTTCACGTTTGTACAAAAAAACAAAAAAAAAGGTCAAAACAAGGCAGTAAAAAATCTTTGAGCCCTGAAACTCCCTGGTGGGTTTGAAAGGTGTGCAATCTTAAAAAATAATAATAATTTATATTTATCTTAAAAATCAATAAAAAGACTCCCTTTATCAGAGCTACAAACTGTAAAAACAGAAAAAAATGTCAGATTTTCAGGTTTCTGACGGTCCTTGAACTACTTTTCTGTGATGTTGAGTTTCATTGGGAAAAAATAACCAAATCTAAGCTTAAATTTGTTTTTTTGGATCAGTAACTTAACACTTAAAAAAAAAAAAAAAAAAATTCGTTTTTTTTAAATCGCCAAAAATACACAGTTTACAGCAATCAGATTCTGTAAAAAAATTAAAATTCTGTGCTCCTCGTTGCAGCCATGAAGCCATCAGTGACTCACATGTGACCAACAGTCATGCAGTAAAAATTCAGGGACTTTTTCGGCTGAACTGCAGGTTTTCCGTTTACAACAGATCAGATGTTAGAAACGTATGAAAATAAATAAGAAAAATGTTTTTTTTCTTGTATTTATATTTTGTTTAATATGCATGTGCCGTATTTAGATTTGAGTAATTCCTGTATTGTATATTATAACGCATACATACACATGCATGCAAAATTGTTAGTAAACATTATTTTTTAAAAATGGAATATAAAGTAAAAAACAAAATATAATGATATCAAATAAATAATATATTTTTTTCTTTTTTTTTTTTAGAAGTAATAATTAAATAAATTCAACTTTATTTTAATTTTTTAATGATTTCTGTCATTCTAACTGCGTTATTCTGTACAGATGACATGTCTGAGTTCTCCTCCTCCTTCGTGGTGGTGCAGGAAGAAAAATGTGTGAGGAGCAGAAAAAAAAAAAAAAAAGGCCAGGATCAGGTTCAGCTTCAGACGGTTAAAAACGTTAAATTCTGAGCAGAGGAGAGTCGAAACCAAAGCAGAATAAAAGGACTCACGTCATAGCTGAGGTGGCTGAAGGTGGTGGGAGGTGAAGGCCTCCTGCCCAGACCTCCACGCAGCGTCAGCGGGCAGAAGAAGGAGCTGTGGTTGGCCATGTGGACGGTCCCCAGAGTGCAGTTCAGCAGGTGGTAGAGGTCCTTCACCGGAGTCTGCAAGACACAGAACCGATCAAAACATCTGCTGTCGTACAAACAGAGAATCTGGTGTGTTCTGCTCACCGAGTCGGGCCGGCTGACGGGCACCAAGCCCCAGGTCAGGATGCCTCGACCACCGTACGAGTCCTGCAGCATCTCCGTCACCTTCGATCCCAGACCTGAAAAACCATCGGCCAGGTCGCAGAAAACCTGGAAGCCCTGAGAGGAGACGGGATTCAGAGAGGAGAGGAACAATCAGGAGAGGCTGGAATAAACAGGAGAGTCTGTCAGCTGATTCTTTACCTACAGCAGCTTTAGTTTATTTAATGAAGTCATGCAGAGTTCTACCTTCATGCTGTGAATACGTCCAGAGCTCCAGGTCCTTGAAGGTCCAGATTGATCACTTTAATGGTGTCTCTTTTTTTCTTGTTTTGTGTCATTTGTCTTTTTTTGTCATTTTATGTCTCATCTTTGTCATTTTTTTAAAAAATCATTTTTTTTTATCCTGTTTTTGTCTCACTTGTCGTTTTCTTCTCATTTTGGAACAGAACCAGGTCCAGTGTTCAGACTGAGACACCTGGATGGATGTAGAACTGATCTGGTGTCAGGTTCTAGCAGAACTCAGATGTGTTCTTCCTCCTAAATGTCATGTGTCTATCTGCTGCACTGATGAAGTTCTGAGGCTCAGAAATGATGGAAAAAGTCCATTAAAGTGATTAATCTGGACCTTCAAGGGCCTGGAGCTCTGGAAACATTCACAGCATGAAGGTAGAACTCTGCATGGCTTCATTAAATAAACTCAAGTTACTGTAGATAAAGAATCAGCTGATTCTGAGGAGGTCTGACTTCAGATTTAGTTGATTTTATCTGTGATGACTTTGATACTAGAGAACATCTAAATCGTTCTCAGGACAGCAGAACAGTTACCTGTAAATAATCACATTCCTCCACAAAGAAGTGCAGTTTGTCCTCCAGCTCCTCCAGAACCGAGCCCTGCAGCAGAGACTCTCCCTGACCGAAGGCCTCCAGACGGTGAGCCTCCCTGCAAACGCACAAAAACACATGTAGAGCAGTGGAGACTCAAACCAGGAACCTCAGATGAGGTCCGTCAAGGTTAGAAGTTAGATTCAGTCCTGAATCTGGACACTAAGAAGTATTTTACATTTTTCAAATCCATAACTAATGAGTTAGAAAGTACTGTTAGGAAAACCTTAAGATATAAGTAGCTGGAGACAGAGCAATACTGTTAAAGTACCATTTCGGTGGACTAAACGTTTAGAACCAGACAGAAAGGAGTATTTAGGTGAGAATAAATCTTTAAAACTCATGTTTTAGTGAGTAGTATTTGGGTGGAATAAGCCATGAACACTTTATGGACAGAAAGTTGTTTGTTTCCTAGAATAATTCTTTAACATTAAAAACTACCTGGACAGAAAGGAGTATTTTGGATTAAACAAACCTTTACAATTTTACCCTGTGAGTTAGAAAGTAGTGTTTGAGTGGAACAAATATTTAAAACTACACATACTTTGACAGGTGGTACGATTTCAGCACAAATAAAGCTTGAAACTATAACTCATCAGTTATGAAGTAACTAAGTGGTGTGTTTGCTGGAACAGACCTTTAAAAAAATACTTTGACAGAAAGTAGTATTTTGGCTGGAGTTAAGGACGTGGACAGAGCAGTGTAGTGGTGGAATAAACCTTTAAAACTGGAAGTACTCAGACAAAATTCACATTTTCAGTGGAATAAACCTGTAAAACCAGAAGTTTGTGGACAGTTGGTGGCATTATGGGAGAAATAAACCCGTCGTGTGTAGTATAGCGACCATCCACGACAGTAGGGGGTGCTGTGCTAACAAACAGAGGTCCTGAAGCTGCTGCTACCAACACATTGTTTGTGTTTGTTGACTTTCTCCAGCAGATGCTGGGTTTAAATTGGACTGAAACGTCATGCAGCTGAATAAAAACGTGGTTCTGGACCGAACCGATCCATACCCGTCGTGGTTGTACTGGTGGATGACGGAGATGGTTCTGGGATGCAGGTGGATCCGCAGGAAGTCGGACCAGACCTTGACGCTGCCCTCCAGCCGGTAGCCCTTCTGGACTCGAGCCAGGCGGCTGTTGACCGACTCGACGCTCACCGAGCCGCCGGCGCCGCCGGCTGCTGCTGCTGGGACACATTCAGAGTCGGACCTTCAACCAGAATCTTGTTTTAAAGGTTTGAAGGTTGGTCAGAGTTTCTCACCTGAACGCTGAGGGCTGGAGGAGAAGTCGACCTCGGCCAGGATCTCCCCCTTCTAGAGACAGAACCAGATGTCAGGAGGACACAGAATGACACAAACAAACTGCAGGGTTCAGTGTTATCGCATCAATAAGAGAAGATCTGACAGCAGCAGGACGCAGAGTTCTGGCTGCTTAGTTTAGTTTAAAAGATCTTTCAACCCGACCTCTTTAGATGAACATTTTTCTCCTTTTTTATTGTTTTGTTGCCTTTTCTAAAGTTTTTACGTCTTGTTGCTGCATTTATTTGTTTTTTTTCTAAGGTTTTAACAGGTTTTCTAATATTTTATTGTTGCTTTGTAAAGTTTTCCTTTCTGATATTATATTTTAATTGACTTTTCTGATGTTTTAATAACTTTTTTATTGTTTAATTGTTGCGGTTTTTAATTGTTTTTATGTTTTCTGATATCTGTTTCATTTTTTTATGTTTGTATCTTTTAAATGTTTTATTGCTGCATTTTAAAATGCTTTATTGTCCCCTTTGCTGTTTTTTTAAAACATGTTTTATTGTGCTGTCTGATATGATTTATTGTTCCTGTTTTTTCTTTTCAGTGTCTTTTTTTAACACAGTATTGTCTTTTGTGATGTTTTAATGTGTCTTTTATGTTTAATTGTCTTTTCTGGTGTGACATGATCTTTTTTTAATGTTTTATTGTTGTTTTCTTTTTGCAAAACACCTTCAAAATCCTGTTATTTTAATTCCTGTTATCATTACATCTTCATCTATTTTGTATTTTATGTATTTAATTGCATTTCTTAAATCAAATTTCTGTTCATCTTTGTTTATGGTATTATTCTGGTCGGTACCGTTTCTGAATGCTTTTCTGCAAGACGCACGTTAACAAACCGCCGCCGTCTTTGAAACGTGTGACATAAATAAATCTGCCTTGTTCTAATTTCTGCTCTAAGTACTCACGTCCAACTTGTCCAGATCTTCAAGAAACGAGTTCTTTGCAGGAGGACTTTCTTTGTGCATCAGGAGGCTTCCATCCCTGCAGGACGGAGCACATGTTTATATCCAACAGACTCTCATGCTCCCTGAAAATACTGCAGGTGTCTTGTTTTTAGTTCCACTACAGAGCAAACGTATGGCAGACATTTGGGAGCAAACACAAAACACAGAAAACAACATCGTCAATATCAACTTAGCATAAAAGCTGTAACACAAAGAGGCAGAAGTGCACAGAAACACTAATACTTACCATGTGACGGCTGCCGTGTCTTTGCCTGCATCATACAGACTTCCCTCCTGCCGCAGAGTACGAAGACTTCCTGACAATTAAATTAAATTCATTTATATAATACGTTTAAAACAACTTGAGTTGAACAAAGTGCTGCACAAGTTATCAGACAGGCAGCAACAAAATGATGTGAAAAGACAGGAACACTTTTTAAACAAAATATAAATAAATAAAATACTAGAAAAGAGTCAAAACAGGTTAAAAACTTGTACGATTAATTTCTAAAACAAATACATATCAATGATTAAGACCGTTAAAAGCAGCAAAAAGCAGTTGAAAGCATGCATGTCTTGATGTTTTTATGTGAGGAGGAACATTTGACAGAAAGTGGAAGACTTTTTATTGATCCACGTGTTCCTGTGTCTCTGCTTCAGGAGTTTAAATGACGAAACAGGTTTTGTAGTATCTCTGAAAGTACATGACAGTTACCTTTGAGATCCATGGCGATGAGCCGCGGCGTGTAGGTGACGTGTCCGCCAAGAGTCTGTCCTTCACGAAACACCACGTCGCTCTGGATCTCACCCGGAGGCGACTCGGGATCGTACGACAAAGACGCATCCTGTGAACAGACCGAAGATCAGAGAAATTTATCTGCCAGTTTCTCTGCAAGTGAAGGGATGAAAAATGCCACCAAACTTCCAACCATGAAGAAATAGAAGTATAAATTCACACCGGAGAGACGGAGAGGCTGAAAATGTGACGACGTACAGCAACATCAAAACATGAACTCGAACAGACTTCTATATTCAGTTCTGAATAACTCCCTAGATGGGAAACATTTATGAAATCTGGACTTTCAACATGAAATTTACTCACTGAAACTCATGAATCAACTTTGATTTTGTCCAGAATATGGTTGTATAGGTTTCATTTTGTGTTGTTCTTAAAAACATTTACTGATGACAGAAACCTCAAGATAAAGGAGTATTTTTTATTTTAATTTGACCAGCATCTTTCTTATTTTTTAACATTATTATTTTTATTTTACGATTTTCAATTACAAAATGCAAAACAAAAGCTATGACCAGGTACGAAACGATGTCATTTACAGTCACCATCTCCCTCCCATATGAACCAAACATGTGGAAAAAGTTTGGAAAAAAGCTTAAAATTATAATATCCATTGTTTTGGTCTTAATTTGTCTCATGTACTTTAACCCAAAAATGTATTATTTTACATTAAGATTAAGTGAGGCTAAAAGAGACGCAGCAGTACGGCATTACTTGCTGAACTCATTTGCTGAGCTTCTGTGGAGGCGTTTCATCGATCAGCAGCTGCTTCTGCGTCAGCGTGCAGAATGAACTGATTTTCACAGGTTTGCATCATCTCTGGGAGTCACTGCCGTTTTGTTTTGTTGAATCACTGCTGCTGTAAATATCTGCACAGCTGTTAGGAATAACATGTCAGCAGAGTTTTGCCGGCTATAGTGTGAGCTTCCCCTTTATAATTCTATTTGTTTTGCGTCTTTGACCTAAAGACGTAATTCAAAAAGATTCAAGATAACATGTTTAAAAAAACACATCAGTCAAAGGAACAAAATGAAATACAATAAACAGGATAAAATGGTACTAGTGTAGACAAATTACACTCTGCCATCACTAAATTAAGCCCATGGCTGCAAGATCATTAAAAAAAAAAGTCAGATTGATAGATTTAGATAAGATCTTTAATTTGAAATGAGTTCAGCTGTGTTCTGACTAATATTCATGCATGTTATGAGCACATGGAGGCTGACACTTGCAGGTGCATCACACAAAAAACTAAATGTACAGTACAGGTTACAAACTGTAAACTCCTTCTGCTAGATGCTGGAGGAGACAGATGCAGATTGAGGATCTTTATTCTATCCTTCACTAGGCTAATTTCTCTGTTATTTTAACACTTTTCAAAGTGATGAATCAGATTCTTTCACTGCAGTATCTCCCCCACAGACTGCTGACCTGAGACTTGATAATTAGCATCTTTAGCTCCATAAATCCTGGTGGTAGCTCCAGGTCTAACCACTGTGGGCTACATTCATTATCTCCCATGTTCTCGGTGTGTTAAACTGAGCAGTAAACGAACATCCCTGCTGCGGCTAACGAGCTAACTCCACAGTCTCCCAAGTTTGTCAACACATGCTAACAGGCTAACGCCAGCTAGCCGGCTAGCTAGCTTAGCCACAGCCGCGTTTCTGACCTGCAAATTCCACCAGTGAGTCCCGACGAAGTTGGAATAATGTCCGAGCTGGAGGGTGATGACTTCTCTGCAGTGGACGCTCATGGTGACGGTGTCAGCGGGCAGGAGAGGAGCTGGGAGCCGCTGCTGGGAGCATCATGGACATGTTTGGAAGTGACAACACTGAACAGAGACGCACTAACTCTGTGCAGAAGGCGAACAAAAGGGCTGCGTTCTATTGGCTGAGAGAAATCTAAGACGAAACTTGGTTGGCTGGACAAAATGACGTAGCGCGGAAGTTCGGTTTCACTGTGCCGTTGATTCACGTGGGCCAGGTCCTGCTGCTGTAGCTGTAAAGGAGTTAAAAGCAGAGTGCAGTGGACAAGTTGTTTATTTTAACATCAGTATATCTTCATTTTGTCAACTTGAGAGTTTATATGAGCTTAACAAAGTAATTGATTTTCCGTTATTATAATAATTTACATTGCTTTTACGTAAAACCATATTTTTTTCAATTATTTTTAAAAACTTTTTTATTTATTGAAGGATATTTGCATGTGTAAAAACTATAAGGACTACTAATGTGTGTGTGTGTGTGTGTGTGTGTAATGACATATATACATAGCTCTACTGATATTGTTAATATGTTCATTGCATTTTGACAGATTGCCAGCAATAGAAACATTACACACTGGTGACAACACATTCATTCCACATTTCTGTCATGAAAATCTCTGTAAATATCCAAGATGACTACAATTTAACAAACAAATCATGCAAAAAGTACACAATCTTGTTGTCCGGCAGACACTTAATGTCGCCTACACCCCATTTTCACTGTGAAGCATGGTAGCGGCAGCATCATAATGTGAGCTTATTTCTTTCCCCCATTTTCGAGGACTAATAATTAAAAATGTGGCTCTGTGTCCTCGCACCATTTTTATGGCTGTGTGAGTTGTATTTCTGGAGATACTGAACCCTTAAAATGATGTCTGATGTTTTTTAAAGGTTGAAAATACTAAAATTCCCTGGTCTGAAAACATATAAATGTTCAAACTTTAGCTAAAACATTTCACAGGACTTATTTTTTGGTCCCAAATATCAACTGCAATCTGAGATGGTGGAGCAACTCTGCTGTCTGACCGACATGCGTTTCACAAGAACAGATCCAACAAACACATCTGCTCTGGTCGGTAGTGGAGTGATTTTATTGAGGAACTTTTTCAAAGCCTTTAAACAAATCAGCCTGAAATCAGAACGTGACAGATGAACAGAAAGTCCGGACCAATCACAGAGTTTATTCTCTGAACATTGCGACGTAAGGCTGGAACCAGTTGCGCAGCTCCTTCATCTTCTCGTTCACGGTGGATCGCAGGTCTTCGGTGGTGTCCTCCATGCGGTCCTTGATGTCCTCGGCCGTGGACTGAATCTTGTTCTTCATGTTCTCCACCTGCGTCTTCAGCAGATCGTTCAGGGTGGTGATCTTGGCCTGGGCGTTGTCTCGCACCTGACTGAAGTACGGGTCCAGCCGGGTCCTCATCTCCTCCATGTTCTCCGAGGATCTGGACTGAATCTCCTCCAGATACTCGTTTACATATCTGAGAAGAAACAGAGCAGGTTGGAATGATTTACAAACACCCGACAAATCCAATTTGTCTTAAATTAGTGAAGTTGGAAAGACGGTGTCATCGCTGAGTGTATGACTCATGGTGCTTTTGTGTGTTTTTTAATAAATGATGTAATTTCATGGTGAAAATAAAAGTAGATTTACCATTTATAAAAATACACAGTTTGGATGTTAACATTATTTGCAGATTTTTTTTCGTGTAAACATGTAACATGTAACATGTTTTTCCTGTTAAACTCTTAAAAAAAGATATATTATAGTTTCAATCCTTTATATATATATTTTTTTCTTTCAAATAACAACATATTAATTATTTAATTTAAAAAAATTTCAACCAATATTTTTTTAAGCGGAATTGTTTTTGTAACTTTTACAGTTAAAACATAAAAATGCAGATTTGTGATGTGGACATGATGCACAGCTTTGTCCCTTTTGTTTTAGGGTTAACGTGTAAATTAAGGCTAATTCTGTGACTTTTGTAGTTATTGTCTGTAATATATCAAAACAGGTAAAAATCTGTAAAATAAGAGTTAAAAATGGATTTACCAATTATTTTACTTTTTATTTTTTTATAACAGCAAATATCTACACAATTAATCATGTTTTTCTCTCATTCAAAAGTGGTTTTCACTGGAAACTAGAATGTAATTGTACAGCTAAATGTGAAGGAAGAAGTTTGATGAAGAGATTATTCAAAGTTTTAACCTGTTTTTTAAATATATTTCACATGTAAATTAATATCTGTGTCATTTTCAAAGATAACATCTAACATTACAGTTCAAATCTGTCTTTCTGTTTAGCAGTAAATTGTTTTAAAAAAGCGTTCAAAGTTGTGAAAGTTTTTGATTTCATATGAAAAACAAACAACAAATCTATTAAAGGTTAAATTAGTATGAAAACACACACGGATTAGTTTAGAGTAGTTACTGAAAAACCTTCAAAATGACGTTTTTCTGATGAGTTTCTGCCATTAAAGCTGAAAAAAACTCAACAAACGTCCTCGTTAGTTTGACCATGAAACTCTCTTACTGGACGGAGTTCCCCATCAGCGTCCTGCTCCGGCCTCACCTCTTGATCTCCTGCGTGTCCTTGCCGAGGCGTTTCTTCATCTTGCGGGTGTAGGCGGAGACTCGGACCCGGACGTCGTCGCTGTTCTGCTCCATCATGGTCTGCAGCTCCGTCGTGTACTTCTCCATCTGGTCCCGGGCGTCCCTCATGTGCCCCACCAGCTTGTCGGCCATCTTCTTCATGTCCTTGCCCATGCGTTCGGCGGCCTCCTGGGTGTAGGGCGCCAGCTTGGTCTGCAGGTCGTCCCGGTACATGGTCAGCTCCGACATGCTGTCCTGGATCAGGGTGCTGCTCGGGGACACAGTCAGTGGGTTTAGTTGGTGGTTTTATAAACATTCAGGCTCCAAAAGGGGCAAAAGTTTGTTTTAAAATCCAACAATCCTCTGTCCACTTGGAACCAAACAGCCCTCATATATACAGGTTATTATTTCTGTTCTTGTACTATAGTTAGACTTCTTAATACTCCTTTTTTTTTGTTGTTTTTTTTTGTAAATACCAGCACGGTTTGCACGTTCTTTTGCACATTAGTTTCCCTCCTTTTCTTAGAAGCAACATGTGTGAACTTATCAGCAGAATAATCCAGGACCAGAGTGGAGCTCCCTGCAGCTCTCGACATGCCTCACCTCGGTGCCGCCTGCTGCTGATGCTGCTAACAGTCAGCTGAGTGCAGATTGTGTTGTTGTTGCAGAAGCAGCAGCTTCATCATCTGCCGTGTTTACAGGCCGACGCAGTTTATGTTTGCAGGATTTGGAAATAAAAAATTCAAACTTTACCAAAACGGCAGAAGAGTCATTTCATCTTAAACCATCAAAGGCTTGTGCTTGATCATCTCTGATTAATTTATTATTTTTTTAATTATAAAGTATTGATATTTAAAATGATATCTGTGACATTAAAAATTACCTGTTCACCCACTTTTTTTCTGGAGTTTTTGGAAAGTATTTGATATAAGTCTAATCCTGTTTTTATAGGTTATTTATAATAGTAATAATAATAATAATAATAATAATTTGTGCCAACATGCCACCAGCTCTGTTTTGTGCAGGTTTCACAACGGCAACGAGGAAGAAACAGAAATTCCACCTACGAAACCAAACAGTAGCTCGGTGAACGTTTCTATGCAGATGATCGACCTCTTTTTGTTGACACTCGGTTCACGTAGAGCTTTACACTCTGACTTCTTGTTCTCGTTGTTTGATGTTATTCTATTTATTATCGTGTTATTGTACTTGTTCTGAGCAATATCTGGCACAAGAAATACTTTCAGGGTGAATAAAGTTCTGTCTTTATCTTTATTGTGCTTTTATGTCTTTCAGTGTTTTATTGTGTTTTTATGGTTTAATCATGCAACACTTGGAACACGATGAACTCGTTTCTGAATAAATACTCTTCATAAATTAATCTGATTGAAGCACGGTGAGCTGATTTCGTTCGCTGTTGTTAGAGAGAAAGCTTGTGTTTTGACTCCTAAATCTGGATTATTACAACAAAAATCGAGCAGATTTGATTGTTGGCTTTGTTATAGCTGCACTTTGTAGCACTGAAGCGTAAATATTTCACCTTTGTGTGTGTTCACTGGTGTTTATGGAGACAATGAGGCTAAATTCTACCTCAAACCTGAAGATTAATGTGTTTGTTTATGCTAAAATCGAAGCTGGAGGCTGCAGACTGAAGGCGTTTGTGCAAAGAATAATGTTGTGTTATGCCGGTAAACAAGGCTTTAACTAACTCACTCCAGTTCTCTGCTGATCTCGGAGCTCTTGATGTCCTTCAGCACCTCGCTGGCCCTGTTGTCCAGGTCGGTGTAGTAATCCTTGAACTTGGTGACTGCAGCCTCCCAGTTCAGGAAGCCCTCCGGGGGAATGCTACGAGCGCTGCAGCCTGCTTCAGCACAAACAAACAGAAGAAAGAGTCACTTCTCAACTCGTTCTGTGGCAGATTTAACGAGACAAGAAGAGTTTTGGCTGCAGCCAGTTTCTGTAAAACTCTGAAGTTTCTCTTATTTTGTTAAATGTGGAACCACACAGATGTTTGGGTTTCAGGGATTTTACCTGGAAAAGGACTCAGATCTTTAGAAAGTCTGTAATTTCACAGATTTTTTTCCTGCATTTTAGGAATTCACCAAAAATTAAATGCACAACATATAATAATAGAAATAAAAAGTTATTCAATAAAATTACAAAAAAAAGACAGATGTAAGATTTTATGAAGTTTTGTGAAATTTTTTTTAACACTTTATTATTATAATGAATATATTTTATAACAGTGGATAAATCCATTATTTTTGGATCGTTTTTTAATTACAGAGTATTTGTGACGTATACAACATCTTTTTATTTGGTTATATGTTAAAACACACACAGCGTTCGACAGTTTATGATTGTTGTGTTTGTTGAAATTAATTAAAAACAACAATAACAGCAGTGGTAAACCTGCTCATTTTGGATATTGGACATGTTTCTTTTATTATAAAAATTCTGTGAAATACATGAAATAAGATTTTTAAGTTACATGAAAAAATTCTTTGTGTTGGATGTGACCTCAATCTGAAATGTATTGTTATATTTATAATCAGGTGTTTTTAGTGTAACTGTGTGAACGTGTTTTTAAATTAGTAAATCTGTAAAATATTCAACTTTTTTATGCAGTTATAAGCAAAAACACGTCCAACACTGAGCAGGTTATCATTACAACCACAATCACATGTATTTGTTTAATCGCGGCGATAAATCCATTAACGTTGGACTTTAAACCTGCTTTTACAAAAGATTTTAATGTAAAGTTACGTATAAAAACGTATTAAACTCTCGATTTAAAATGTTTTATTGTTTATATAATCACAAGTATATTGATAACGGTGCGGACGTGTGTTTGTAAAATAAATCTGTTAGAAATACAAGATTCTTTCAGTGTTTCAGTTCAACATAAAACTCGTGATTTAAAAAAAAAAAAAGAAAAAAGTTTAATATTGTAATTTTAATATTAAATGTTTAGTAATTGTGGTTTTACATTTTTTTCAACCTAAATCTATGATTTTATCGGCAGGTTAACTTATTTAACACTAAAGATTAAAGCGTTTTATGTTAATTTACCCGTAAAAACTCATGTTATACTTGATAGAATCTAAACTAATATTAGATATATAAAGTATTCATTAGTATTTTGATAACAGAAGTAAATCATTTTTATGGGTACGTGTGGTTTTAACATCAAAATCTGTCAAATATGCACGATTTACATGTAAATGTACATTTTATCTCAAATGAATGACAGTAATTTTAAATCAAATGTCAAGTTTTATAAGAAAACGCAAATGTATTTTGATATTTTTTACAAGATTTGTTCCATAAAAAACAGATTTTCTGCTTTATTAAGCCTCATTATTTGGATGACAACAATATTCAATGATATTTATTCAACATTCATAGTTTTAACATGTAAATATTCTCATTAAACATTAAACATGAAACGATTAAAAGATATTAATACATTATGTAGAATTAGGGCTAGAAACCATGTTTTAATTATGGGAAACTTCTGTATTTTCATGGGATGTAATTTTCCAGTTATTTTACTGTAGCTGCTGGAATTTTACAGTTTTTGTACTTTTTTCTTTCATTTTTACAGAATGTGCAAATCTTTAAAGACAGTTTTTACTTTTCAGTCAATTAATCTCCTTTTTGTTTTTTAATTGGCTCTGAATATATATATTCTTTTCTTTTCTTTTTTTTTTTAACGTGTTCCTACCTGAGAGGACTGCCAGCGCGAGGATTACTGCAAACGCCCTCATGATGAGCAGAGATCAGGACACCTGGAAAGACAAACAGAACGATGATGAATCAGAAAAAAACACTAAAAACCGTTTCTCACTGGGATTTTAGTCGTCCAATAGAAACATTTTACCGCTCTTCAGTCGTCAGTGTGACTTTTTCACAACATAAATTCACATATTTTTCCAATTTGAGTAACTTTAAGCAGCTGCAAACAAATAAAACAATAATTCAAATGAAACGAGCTGCTAACGGTGTGCAGACGAGCGGGAATCTCACCTCAGCGATCAGATCTGTGACGTGGGCGGCTGATCGAGCTGCAGCTCAGTATTTATACACTTCAGATATCATTGATTCCATCCGATAAATGTCAGCAGGATTTCTGACCTGCGTCCGAAGTTTACGGCCTGAACGGCTCGTTGTCATCTTTTATTGCTGTGTGTGTTATTTCAGCTCCACGTCGCCGACATGCTGACACAGTTCATGTGCTACAGGAACCTCAAACGCCTGATTAAGCTGTTTAAACTCATAAAAATAGGCTGTCTGGGTTCCCTTTAGTTCTGTCTGTTCCACATTCTTGTCTGGAATCATGTGAACACACCAGTTGTTCATCAGAAATCAGAGTTCTGTCGCTGATTGAAAGGCCAAAAGTCGCTTTCACCGTCCATCAGATGTGGTTCAGAGTCTGCGTTAACAACCTGCATTTATACAACTTTTATTAGACCGAAACGTCCCAATAGATCACCTCTCACACAGAACACGCTGATCAATCAATAACTTTATTGGAGGCGAAGCAGCAAAGATCCACAAACAGCAGCTCTGATTGTTCAATCTGTATTTATTATATAATTCTTCTGCGTCTTCAGTCTGCAGCTGTTCAACAACAGTTTGGTCAAAAGTCGTGAAATTTGGCACATTGATAAAATGAAGTGTCCTGATTCTTTTCACCAAGTTTCAGGTCTTTGACTCGAGCACTCTAGCGCCACCGTTGGGTCGGAGTTGCAACTTTTGAACCATATTTTCAAGAATAATCAATCTGAGCTCAAAGCATTTTCTCTTCATGTGAACAGCACAGAAAAAATGAATAATCTGGATGAATTTACAATAAATGTTTTTATTTTTACAGAAAATACACAAAATTCTAAACAGTCTGCATATTTTCAGGCCCCACAGCACGAGATCACAGTTAGCTCTGAAAAATCACTTAAAGGGTAATAGAAAGAAAAGCTGGAGATAGTTTCACCAATAAAGCTCTGTTTCATCTTGAAGAAACTCTGGAAATGTATAAAGATATCTGTCAAGTTTTGGCTTGATGCATCAAATACTTTATAATTAAGATTTATTAGATAATTTATTTAGAAAAATTACATATTGAAATTTGAGGCTGTTTGAACGACAACATCTCAGGAACTATTAGAGACGGAAACCTGAAATTTTCTCTGTTATTTCTCATCATGACGTTAAAAATAATGAAATATTTCTCGATTTTATTTTTTGAAAACCATTTTAAAACTCCTGAACTCTGTTCTATCAGCAGTATTTAGGTTCTTGAGCTACAACTGGTCCAACCTGCTCAATCAGTCGTGAAAGTTCAACATAAACAACCTTTTTAAAAAATGTTTGTGATCAAGTATTTCACATTTAAAGTCTTCTACATGTTTAGTTTTATATTATTGTGACCTGCAGCTTCATGTGGTTCAGAAAACATCACCAGCTGCTTTACAGTTTGTTTGTTTTTTGTTAGTTTGAGCTTAAAGATGGAACTTTTCATGACGGCTTCAATTTTATGTTCTATATTTAAACTCACCCATAGCTGGAGATGATCTGATCTACTTCTTCAATATGACAGTATTCTTCACTGACATGATGAGAATGAACAGAGAACATTTCATGTTTTTATCTGTAATAGTTCCTGAGATGTTGTCGTTCAAACACATTTCAATGTGAGAAAAAAACCTGCTGGAAGTGGGTCAATGGGCAATTTAAAAAAAATAATGTATCTCAGAAAGTTTTTGATACGTGAAGCTAGAACTTCACAAATATCTTTGTAAATACTCATATTTTATGATGTAAACATTTCAGGTAAATCAGAGACGGTCCAGTGGAGAAACACAGCCGTCAGTGCACTTTTCTGTTCATGAGTTCAGCTTTTAATGTGTCATAGAGAGGTTGTGTCATTAGTGTTTAAAATCCCTGCTGAAAAGCTTTTTTAGTCGTTGTGGCTGCTGCGTGTTTTCCATTTCAAACAGAGACGACAGTCCAAAAATACACTCAACACGTTTTATTGTTGTCAACAGTAACACAAAAGCTACACAAGGTATTGCACTTCTTCTCTCCTCCATAAATATCAGCATTTAGCAGCAGGTAGTTAAAAGTCTGTTCACTGGGACATCTTGCTGAAGGCCTCCCACAGCGCCGTGAGCTTGTCCTTCAGGTTCTGGCCCTCCGCGGTCAGCTTGGCCCTCAGCTCGTCCTCGTACGGAGCCAGCCGCTGCCGGACCTCCTGGGTCTTCTGGGCCAGGTGGGCCTCGAACCTCTTCTGGAAGAGGTCCAGGTTCTGCTGCGCCTTCTGCTTCATGTCCTCGGCGTAGGGAACCATCTGGGTCTGCAGCTGCTCCACGTTCTGGTCCAGCTGCAGCTTCAGCTCCTGGCTCCTCTGCAGCAGGAGCTCCTTCAGGGCGTCGGTGTCCACCGTCTCGGCCTCCTTTTTCAGCTCCTCCACTTTGCTCTGCAGCGTCGCCATCATCTCCTGGACGTACGCGTTGGTGCTGACGGCCGACAGGTCTTTCTCCAGACGGGCCTTCAGCTGCTCGGCCTCCTGGGAGAACGTGGCCACGAGGTTCTGGGTCAGAGGAGACACCTGAGCGCGAAGAGCGTCGGTGAGCTGGGAGATGGTGTCGCTGCTGGAGGCGACGAGGGAGCTGCAGACGCACAAACACAACTTTAAGCTCTCTGTTGTCTTTCCTCACAGCTTCACTGTCACATTAACATTAGATACATGTGTGTATATCTATTTATATCTGCATATTTTTATTCTTTTCAGTTTCTCTTTGCACATGTAGAGAAACTGACAACAATGTTCACTTTGACTTTGATCAAAATTGTGGCCGCTGTGATCCTCTGTTTAAGTTAAAGTTTATTTATACACTAAAAACTAATATTGAAGCTCCACAAACAGGCTGTATCAGGCTTCTGGTGAATTTATGTTTAACCAATAAACCAAGTAAATTAGAAAACTCTAACACAGACAAGTTGAATAACGTGCACAAAGACATTATAGAAAAATTACAAGTGATTGACTAAAACTAGCAGAAAAGACAAAATAAAAGTAAAATAGCAACAAGGAAAAGATGAAGACAGTGAAAAATTAAATTATGAGAAAGTTATTAGGCTAATCTAATCCAGAATTAGGATGATTATTATTAGAATGATTGATCCCTGATCCATTCAAAGTGTTAAAAATGTAAGTAGTAGAAAAAAGATGAACATGAGTAAATGTCCCCAAAACAGAAATATAAATAGGAAAGCATAAAATTTAACAATGTACATTATATTAGGACATTTAAAATATAACTGTGCAGTGTTATAATCAAAATAAAGTTATTGCACAGAGAAGTAGTTAAAAAGAGCCGGAGCTCCTGCAACAGGCTGCTCATCGCTAACGAAGCAATTTACTGCAGAAGCTTGAGTTTACTCTCAGGATTACGTTGCAGTAACTCCCAGCATCATGATGTCAGAGCGACTGATCAAAGCTTTAAAATGTTCTGCTGTATTTTGTTTAAACTGATTTTTCTTTTTAAATCTCCTAACTGACGTATAAATATTTTAAACAGCGTCCTACTTGAGCTCCTGTCCGAGCTCCGACTGTCTGATCTGCTTCAGGGAGACATCGGCGGTGGTGGTTGCCTTGGCAACGTAGTCCCAGAATGCATCCTTGACCATGTCGACCTGCCGTTTGGGCGGACTCTGGAGCACGATGTTGGCATTGCAGCCGGCTGAGGGACAAAAACACGACAGAAGTCATTTCCAACGTGTTTCTGCTGAATGATTCCTGAATCTGGATCTTAAATCGGCAAAACCGTCTCACCGGTGAACACGGCGGCGACGAGAACCACGAGGAGCTTCATGTCTGAGGCTGGAGAAGAGGGAAATAGTTCAACAAACACTGAGGATCTGGCAGCAAAGGAGGGAAAAGGATGCTGTAAATTAACCGTAAAATACCGCAACTGTAAAAATCATGTGAATGTAAAATAATTCTATTTTAGCTGATATAAAGGCAGATAAACTGGGTAATTTTATGGCCACAAGATAAAAAAAAAAAAAGAAAGAAAAAGAAAAAAAAAGTAATACTTTCCTATGTGATTAGAATAATTATTATATGTAACTTAAGAAAACAGGGAAAATCTGTAAAATTACTCGTTTAAAAGAAAATATTTACCAATTTTTCATTCTTCATGTACATATTGTTTCTTTCAGATAATGATAAAGATGTTAAATAAAATCTTTCAGCTGATTTCAATATTGTACAAAAGTGTTTTACATTAATGATCAAACAAAAATGGACATTATTTACAGTTTGGGGTGTTTTTCTGTCATTAATAGTTACATTTACATTAACATTTCATATTTTACTAAAGTACACTTATTTACTTGTATTTTTTTACTTATATGCTGCTCTTGTCTTAAAATTGTACTTATTATTATTATTTATTACTTTTTTTCTTTTTTTTTTTTAATGGGACCTGAGGATTAATTTTGTGCCACATACATGTAAATGTGATCTGGCATGACAATAAAAGTTCCTTGAATTCTTGAATCCTTAAATTAATACTTGTCTGTGACTTTACAAGACATCTGTAATTTAACAAAGTAGGAAAGAAATCTGTAAAATAACAGTTCAAAAAATTAATTACCATATTTTAGTTCTTTATATACAGATTTTTTTCTTTTAAATAACCTCAAATATCTGCAAAATAATCATATTTTATATAAATTAAACAGTTTAATTTGATGCTCACACAATTTAAAAGAACAAATTACCATTTATAAAAATACAGACTGGTGATGCAGATGTTTACAGTTTTATCCTCTTTTTTAAATATTTTTTTGTCCTTACAAATAATTTTAGAGTGTAAATGAATGTGTTTGTTGTGATTTTATCAGTTATTTGTTTGTGATTTAACTAAACAGGTAGCATCTGTAAAATAACCGTAAATTGTTCAAAAAATTTGTTAAAATTATTATTATTTTTTGGTCACATAAAACAATGTGAGCGGTGACGTTTTCCCCGTTGAGTCCTACCTGTGCAGATAATCTTCTGTTCTGCTGGCGAGCTGCTGAATTCGCTGTGGTTGTGCTCATTACTGGGTTTTTATAAGCTGCTGAGTCGTCTGGAGGAATCAGAGGATAAAGTCCAGCAGTGAGTGTCGCGCTGTAACCGAAGCCTCCACATCACTCCGGTGGTGAGTCAGGGACACATCCACCAGCTCTCTGACCGCCTGACACGGTCCAGTCCACCGTCTGCAAAGAGATCCATGAAGTTATTGATAATTCTTAAAAAGCGTTCACCCCTTTGGAAGATTTTCCTTGTTGTTGCTTTTCAACGTTCATTCACGATCGATTTAACTTGACTTTGTTGACAAGAATTTACAAAGAGAGAGTATCTCAGGTCAAAGTGAAAAAAAAAACAAAGATGTCAACATGTCTATTCAGAAATATAAAATAAGTGATGGCAAAGTGGCTCACCTCATTCAGCACAGGAGCAGCCAGTTGATGCTAGAAGTCATATAATTAGTAAATAAAGATGATCTGAGGTCAGTGAATGAGTCTCAGTGATTGTAGTATGAAGACTCCTGTATCTGGAAGGTCCAGTCACTGGTGGATCAGTAGTCCTGGATAGAACTGAGTGACCAAGTGAGAAGGAGACTAGTGAAGGAGGCCACCGAGACTCCTACGGCTCCTCTGAAGGAGTTACTAGAAGGAGACTAGTGAAGGAGGCCACCGAGACTCCTATGTAATCTAATTGTAGACTCCAGTTTGGACACATGAGGAGGATGCATGAATATAAAAGGCTCATATAGCAAAACACAAAGTTAGAATCAGTGTCAATCTAAGCTACAGTTTATCGCTGCCACTACTCGATGCTTCTAACTAAATGGGCTTGAGTAAATAAACCAGAAACATCACACAGTCTGTCTACATTTATGAGAAAGAAAACTTTAAATGAAACCGTACAGAACAAGGTGAGTGAATTTATGTGACACGAAGTAACACTGATGACCCACAAACTCTCAGCGGAGTCGACGATGTACTCGCTTCAACCTGTTGTGATGCACAAATCCTGCTTTGTTTGTGTTGTTTATGGGTCAGTGCAGTGTGAGCAGGACTTTGATCCGCCATCCAGCCGGCAGGTTATCTCTGGTTCCTTGTACAGCAGTTCCCTCCTGGAGCGCTGATAACAGAGCAGCTGAAGTCTAGAAACTTCCGATGAACAGTTTTCAGATGACGCAGTCAAACGGTGGAAGCCAACACGGAGGCAGCTTGTACACATAACAACACCATAAACACCAGTTCTGTCTCCTACCGATGAGTCCACATCAACATTGTGTCAAAATGGGCAAAAACTGGAACCTTGTCTTGTCAAACTTTCCACACATCAGATTCTAGCGTCTCAAAGTTGGTGAAATGTCGACCAAAGGCTGTAATCTAGTTGGAAATATGCACATTTTGAGGTAATTTTGGACTCATTTTGAGTCATTTTGAGCAGCTTTCAAGTCAAAATAGCAAAAACTGGCTTGGTGTACCAGCTTCTACTGATGTTAGAGCTTCAAAAGTTGGTGAATCCATCCATATACATATATATACACTCAGAGGAACTTTATGGAGACACAGTACCACCAAGTGTGAAAATTGTGCCCTTTCCCCCATTTTCAAGCCAATTTTGAGTCATTTCTGACAAGTTTCAAGTGATTTTCGACAAATATTATTTCCCTTTGGACAGATTTTAAGCCAAATATCTCAAAATTAGAACCTCGTCTTGTCAAACTTCCAACACATCAGATTCTGCTGATGTTAGAGCCTCAACAGTTGGTGAACGACTATTTTCAGTAGGAAATATGGATCCACCCATATATGTACGCTTATTGGAACCCCAGTATCTTCCTTGCTTGGAAATTTTGCATGAAAAACGTGTCCTCTACTGGAGCCATTCACCAACTTTGTGGCTGTGGTAGTTATGCACATACTGAAGCCTTAAACCCTTATCAGCTGCTAGTTTTTTTTAGAGGGTGAAAATACAAAATTCCTAGAGCTGAAAACATATGAAGTTGTCAAAATTCAATCACAATATTTTACAGAACATAGTTTTGGGTCTCAAATAATTAAATTCTGAACAAAGCTCATAATAAACCTCGACTAGACCCTTTAGTCAAGTACAAATCACTTCTTTGATCTGGTGAGACCAAAGTTGAGGTTTCTGACCATCAGACTAGATGCTGTGTTTGGAGGGACACCAAACCCTTCACACCATTACACCAGCATGGAAGTGGCAGCAGCATGGTTTGGGGATTTTTTATTTATTTTCATTTTATTTTAAAGGGCCAGTAATGACAAAACTGGCCTCTGGTGAAACCATTCAATCTCAAAATCAATTTGGATCTTCTGGAAACTATTCCATCTGTGTCCACACCAACTGTCATGGCTGTGGGAGGTAAAGTTCTCGAGATGTTCGACCCTAAAAATGGCCTCCAAGTCATTTTTTAAAGGGTGAAAAGACAGAAGTGAAATTCGTAGGTCTGAAAACGCTTGAAATTGTCAAAATTTTACCAAAATATTTAACAGAACCCAATGATGGGTCTTAAATAACAAATTAGTGAACAGTCTGTGTGACTTTAATAGAAGCAGCTGTTTGTTTCCTGTCAGAGTTCTCAAACGTTCGACTGTAACCACAGCAGTTACAGATCAGGGATGGGCGATATGCGTCATTTCGTTACCTTGACTTGTGATGCTTTTGCTTTTGCACAAAGAAAATCAGAGTTATCTTTTCCTTTCTTTAATTAAAACGACCACTTTAGAGGATTTTCCCTAGTAGTGACTGTTTGTCGTGTAGCTGCTGCATTTCCTGCATATGAACCAAACTAAACAGAAACTAGAGAACATGTGTCATGAGATGAAGAAGCGATGACACCACGATTATGACGTGGAGTGACAGCAGTGACAGGAATGCGTCCAGCGGGGCAGCTGGAGAAGGACTTTACCCTTCAATGTGGCTATAAAACCAGCGAGCCGCTGACTGAGCTGCACAAACCGTCGGATCCACCGAAGAAGCCACAAGCTGCCTCTGAAAGGTAAATATTTTAGCTTCAGAGACTTTCTTCACTTCACTCGATCAAGTTTTTAAATTTTACATTCATGTTCTTTGTCTCTTCATCCAACAGCATCAATCATGAAGGTGTTCGTGCTTCTCGCTCTCCTCTCCGGTGAGAACTTTTTCTCTTTAAATCAAACTCGGGATCCTTTTAAAACGCAGCCGGTGACATTAATTTGCTGCTTTTGTCTGCAGTTTGCAATGCCAACATCTTGTGGCAGGAGCCGCCCAAGACCAACCTGGAGATGGTGAAAGATGCTTTCTGGGACTATGCTGCCAAGGCGACGCTCACCGCCGAGGACTCCATGAGGCAGATCAGAGAGTCTGAGCTCGGACAGGAAGTCAAGTAAGAGTCATAATAATGGCTGAGAAAGTTAGAAATCTGCTGTGTGTTGTGTTTCAGGGAACTAACGGAGTCTTTCTGTGTCTATCAGTGCTAAGATCTCTCAGAGCGCCGACACCGTGAACCAGTACATCGTCGCCCTTCGCACTCAGGGTGCTCCTGCCGCTCAGGACTTCATGAACCAGTTCACCCAGCAGGCCGAGCAGCTGAAGCTCCGTCTGGAGACAGACCTGGCCGCTGTGGGCACCAACATGCAGCCCTACGCCGACGACATGCTGACCAAACTGCAGACCAAGCTGGAGGAGCTGAAGAAGGAGGCCACCCCCTACGCTGAGGGCATGGACGCCGACGCCCTGAAGGCCGTCCTGCTGCAGAAGAGCCAGGAGCTGAAGGCACAGCTGGACCAGAGCGTGAACCAGCTGCAGACCCAGATGGGTCCCATTACTGAGGAGATGAAGCAGAAGATGGAGCAGAGCATGGAGGAGTTTCAGCAGCGCATGACGCCCCTGGTCCAGAGCTTCGAGACCCAGCTGGCCCAGAAGACCCAGGAGATCCAGCAGAGGCTGGTTCCGTACGGGGAGGAGCTGAAGGCCAAGCTGGATGCCAGCGCTGAGGACGTCAAGGCTCAGCTCACTGCTCTGTGGGAGTCCTTCTCCAAGATGTCCCAGTAAACGGACTTCATCACCACTCTGCTTACCTCAATGCCACAAATATTTATTTTCACCTCACCTGATGTCTATTTTATTAAATAAAATCCTGATTACAACACAAGAGCTGTGCCAGTCTTGATTTTCAGAAGAGGGATTCTTGTCATAACAGTCTGAGGACAAATATTGTATATATTCATACATTAATGTTCCTTAAAGCAGTGCTGAGTTTTATAAAAAAAAAACAAAAAAAAAACTCAACTCAAAGCAGCTAAAGTCCATCCAGTGGACCTTTAGAAGGGATTTGCTCTGATTCTAGGTCGTGTACGAAAATATCTAATGCACCAGACCATCAAAAACCTGGATAGTAGAATACCAACACATTAAAACCTCTGACAATAATGCACTACATATCAAAAAGCTGGATAATAGAACACTAAATCATTAAAAACCTCCACATGAGGAAAACAAAATCCTCAAAACAGTGGATATTAGTGCACTAATACATCAAAAATCTGGATAATGCAC